GAAACACTTAGTGTTGAAAATAGTTACACTTGAACTATCACAAAATTATTTTGGGTCAAAATAAAAGCAGATGTCGATTACGAAACCACATTTTACGCAGCAGCAATATTTTTCGTTGGTTTGATTTTTTAACTTTAATTAGTAGAGATAATATATTCTGTAAAGTAACATTATTTTTGACAGGAGTCCAATATAAGCAATGGAAACAATTAAATTTCTTTTGTCTCTTTTAATTGTCAATAAAACTCAATTTCTCCGGCAGTTCGTGGGGTTCGTTCTGTCACGGTAATTTAAACTGATCATGTTAAATCAATAAAGGAAAACGGGGATAAGCTGAATTATGATCGTTATATTGGCTACAATTCTTTGCTGGTCCCTTAAAACTGGATAAAAAGGAAATAAAATCTACAAATTTAGTAACTCCATTGGAGAGTAGCTAACAGACATTTTTTAATTGTTGACAAAAATGGTGAAAAACTTCCACATATCATGAAACAGCATTTTAAGACTAAATCTTTGAAAACTGATTTCGAAGATAAAGCGTTGAAGGCGAGTTTTCCATAGCAGAAAGGTTTTTGAAAAAAAAGGTCCTTTAAATTTAATTAAATCGTTTTCTTGTAAATATGTGTTTATGGTCGTAAAGGTGTTAAGTCATATTCCATGTTTGTTCCTAATATATTTTTCAATACCATGCAGACATTAAAACAAAGGATTTTAAAGCTCCCCCGCTGAAACTACCTACTGACGACGGAACAACAAGAAATAAACGAATTTAAAAAAAATGCTCTACTGACAGGGCCACTTTCGATTGATTAGAATGTAATAGTTAGACTTAAGAAATTATCTGCTGAATTCAGTGAGTTTGTGTTTAAAAAACTAAGAAAATCATGTAAAAAGGTAGTCCACAAATTCTTGATTTAATGACATTACCTCGTGTCAGCTCGTCAGCCAAACAGAACCCGTTTAGCGGAAGTGTCAATTAGCATTGTAGGTCAACATGTTTGCCACAATATTCAAACTTGACGTTTCTTTTACAGAGACCGAACTGCAGTTAAACTGCAATATATTGGATTGTGTCCAGTGTAGACTGCACCGGACATTGGGTCGTTGGCGATGGCTTGGCAGCCCTACAGGCGAACCTGCAGCCCATTTTTGCTGATTCTATGGATTTTCACCCTCTTCAATAATGTGAAAGGAGGTCCAAGCGATTCAATTGTCACGAAGGCTCGATGTTACGCAAACTGCCTCACTGAGGTAAACTTGCCTTTCAATATACTTTCTCAAGAAGTCGTAACGTACTCTTACTAACTTATAGGTCTAAATCATTCTAATCAAGCAACAAACATTTCGTGAATATTCAAGTTTCAGATGGAGAATTTTCTAAAGCTTCTTAAAAGTTCTTAATTGTTTTTAATTTATAGGCGACTTTCGAAAGGTCCCATATTATTGATACCTCTGATAAATGAATGCTACAGATTACAGACTACCGTATGATCTCAAGTCTTTTCAAACTCGCGCAACAAAAACTAAATCATATGGATATACAACAACCATGTTTGAGCTAGCAAACCAAGTCTTATTTCCTCAGCAGGTTTTCACCCGGCTAAATAATCAAATAAGCCGGGCAAATATGCGGTATCCGCA